ACTACATCGTAGTCTTGGGCACAATGAGTTTTTTTATGTTATATCTATTAGATTTTAGTGGTAAATTTGACAGATGTAGGTTAGCATGTGACAGTTCTTCTTCTGTTTCTCAATACTGTTATATTGTAGGATGTATTTCAATTATCCATATTGTTACATTAAATTTGATTAATTAAAGATTGTTAAAGTATGCCAATATTAAACACATCAATTTACTTTTGATATGTAAATTGAAACAATTTTATAGACATTCATTAATAACAGCATATTTCATGAAACTAGATAACTTAACTTACAGTATTGAGAAACAGAAGAAGAACTGTCACATGCTAACCTACATCTGTCAAATTTACCACTAAAATCTAATCGATACAACATAAAAACACTCATTGTGTCCAATACTACGATATAGTGCATTAAAGTCCTTCCCTCTTTTAAATTCAATGTTTGTTTCATCCCTTCTAAGTGTTTCCGGTTTAGTGTGTTTATATTATCCTTAATTGTTTGTATTTTAACATTTTATTTACTTGACTATTCCAGTAATTAACTCATTGCCAATAGAACTTTATCCAAGTAATTTGATAACTACAAGTTGGAAAATAATTGCACATCCACACAATTTTTACATCTTAACTTATTCATTGTCATAAAACTGTCACCTTCATAAAACAATTACTCAATAGATAACACACATTTCAAAAATATATCTCTCGAATAAGTATAAATAGCTTTTAATAACACAATGGTATATTACATCACTTACATTTAACAAACAATCTCACACATATCTCTTCTTCATTGGATCAAATCTATCTCCTCAAGAACTTCCCGTTTACTGTCAAACAACTGCAATAATAGAATTGAGTTCTCCATTCAACAATATAAAGTAGTTTCAACCATGTTCTACCATCCATCTATTAATTGAGTACCCGCATGTAAGTAATGTTTATTTTATTTATTTATTTGCTCATTTATTAATTTATTACAATCGAAGAGACTATTTTATAACAATTTGTGGGCCTTACCTTGTCTGTTTAAACTTTTTAAAAATTTTATACCTTTTATTCAACTTACTCATTTAAATAAAACCACAGACATGTAATATTGGCATAATTATTGTAATTTACAACACCTACTTTGTTTATCGTTATTAGACAACACCCTAATATGGGTTTTTATTATTTCAGCATTTGTTTAACTTTGTATCGAGACCTGAGGATGCTTTGCATATTGTAGAAAGCGAAACCGGTCGTCTGATAGTTAAATTAAATTGATTGTGAGTAAGTCTTATTTATTATTTCTTTACCTATTTTTAGTAATAATATTAATCTTAGCTCTAGGTTTGATATATATATATATATATATATATATATATATATATATATATATATATATATATATATATATATATATATATATATATATATATATATATATTATTGTGATATTTAAAGTCTTGGTGCGCCAAGCAATAATTAGCTAATTAATTTTTTGATTAATTAAAATTATTTAAATGATATGATTGTGACTCTATCACACTTTTTAATTCTCTTATCTCAGGGTTAAATTCGTGCTTCAATATCTATGCTATTACATGTGAAAGGTAAGGTCCAAAGAATACCGGAATAATAAAAAACACATATGATCTAACACTATATATTGAAATAAAAATAATGAAATAATTCACACTCAAAAGTTTTCAATAAACAAAATCTCATATAATAATTCTCAAAATTTTGTTCTACGTACGTGAACAATCAAAATTAATGGTACAAACAATATTAGTTGAAATCTCAAAATCCAAGTATTACTCTAAATCTCCTAATCAAAATATTTATATCCTTTCTCAATTAAGTGTAAAAATTGTGTTATCAATGAAAGAAAAACTGCAGAAAACAAAACTATCTCTCTCTGATGATGAGTGGTCCAAATCCTTGTTATTTGTAGACTATACTATTTACTCGTGGCCGCTCCCTAAGTAATCAGCAATCTTACAATAATTTATTGCAAGTATCTCGTCCTTAATGATCTCCTTCAAATGCACGAATCGTTCAAATTATGCTAGCTTCTTCTTCTCTCAATAAACTGAATCTCTCGTTGGCCTGAGTGAAAAATGACTCTTGGAATATCTTTTCTTTACGATAAACTGAATCTCTCGTTGGCCTGAACAGTGACTCTTGGAATATAAGTAGAAAAATATGACTTACAATATTTTACTGGATCAGCTTCTGTCAGATACACTAACTACACGAAAACTCACAAACTTTCACTGCTACTGCTTCCTACCTCTGGGAAACTACCCGAGAACAACGGCCGTTCGCCTTGCACCCTTGGAAACCAACTAACTATCTTTTTTTCACTCCGAAATCTAGCTAAACTTTCATTCCTACATACCTCCCACCTTTTTTTAATCTCCGCCAATCAAAACTCGTCACAATTCCCCATTCTTTCATTCCGATAACAAACAAATTTTTACCTATAATTATAAAATTTCCTAAAACTTATTTACAAATAATATTTTTCTATAATTCTTAAAAACTAACAAAAACATCTTTCCAAATCTCTTCTATTGTGTATAATCGCTGCGTTAGTGTATTTGGAAAAACCCGGTTTAATTGTCTTTGGGATTTCACTTAAAATTATGCGGGTCACTCAAGTATAGTATAACAAAGGAAATAATTTATGCTTAGCTTACATTTTGTTTAATACAGGTAATCCAAAAATTTAAATATTTTCCTTCTTCGAAATGTTTGTTGGGCATTATCCTAGTTATCTGAATTATTTTAGACAAACCAATATCTTTCTCGTTTTTACATATCATAACAATATATATATATATATATATATATATATATATATATATATATATATATTATATATATATATATATATATATATATATATATATATATATATATATATATATATATATATATACATATATATACAGTGGGGCTGCTTAAGTTCAAACCATATGGGATAATTAATTTTGCGAAAAAAATGGTTCGTGTAAGTTTATTGGCGATGGTCATCCATAGATAATAGCACAATGGAATCCATATTTTGCGCGATCGTTCGATACTTCGTCTGCCGATTGGTGATCTATTTTGACCTCGCGGCTCTCCCCCTTCTGCTTATGTTGTTATTCCATTGTTTTTTTTTTCTATTAAGAGTCCGTTTGTTTATATAGGATACGTTAGATTCTCTTTTAATGTCTTTACCTCTCTTTTGATCTCTCAGCTTATTTCCTGTAATCCTTCTCAGTGCTCTCATGTCTGCCGTTTCCAGTTGTGGCTGTATCAGATCTTGTTTCTAAGGCCTATGTCATTATTGGTCTTACACTGACTTTATAAATTATTAAATTCATCTCAGTGTTTGTTTTGTCATATAGTGTTAGTAAGGCATCCTGCCGGTCTATTTGATTTTTTTATGTTTTTTGTTTGCTGGATCTCTCACGTTCTTGGTCTCCATAGCTGGACATTGTAATTTCATATATATATATATATATATATATATATATATATATATATATATATATATATGTATAAATGTATGTATTTATAATATATATATATATATATTATATATATATATATATATATATATATATATATATATATATATATATAAGTATAAGTATAACTACACCCCTGGCCCTGTAGTAGGCCCTTAGCTTCAATAGTATTTACAAGTTTTTTCTACTTTTTAGGGTCCCCCACTTGTACCTTTCATTTTCTTGTTCCTATGTTATCTATGTCGGCGTAGTCAGCATTTAACCAATTTTTTTGTGGTCTTCCTCTTCTTCTTTTTCTTTGTTCTCGTGTTTTCAGGACACTTAGGACGTTTTTTTTCTGTTGGTATTCTCAAAAACTTGTTCCAACCATTTAACTCTTTGTGCTCTGATTTTCTGCGTTATTTTGGGTCTCTTATGAATCTCTATTTGCTTCAGGTTTGTTTCTCTATGTCATTCTCCATTAGTCTACTTTATCCCACTAAAAACTTTTCTCAGGATTTTCCTCTCAAAATCTTCAACATTTTTTTTCCTTTTTGATTTGCTGTCCAAGTTTCACATGCATAAAATACTGTTGCTCTCACTATTGTTTTTTAAGTTAAAAACTTGGCTTCCCTGGCACGTTTTTTATCTTGAGCAGTGCATTTAATGATCCAACTGCTTTGCTGGCTTTCAACAACCGCTTATATATTTCTGTCTCTTCGCCTCTTCTATGCTATTGCATTTTTAAATTTATGATCTGCCTCATTCGTTCTTAGAGTAATTAATTTGTTTTCTTCTGTATTTCCTCTTATTCTGCTCTTATTTCCATATACTCGTTTTTTTTCTGGATTTATAGTCAGGTCATATTTTTTAGCTGCTTTTTAAAATTCTATGAATATTTTTTAAAGTTTTTTTACATAAACGAGTCAAAAATACAAAGTCATGTGCGAAACCTATCCATAGTTATTTTTTGTTAATAATCGTACCGCTTGCCTGAATTTTGGCTCCTCTATTTATTTTTCTTAGTACTAGGTTAAGCCATTCTGGTAACATGGGATCTACTTGTTTTATTCTTCTACTGAAGTTAAATGGATTTTGAATGCATCCCTCTTTTTTATTGACTGTATTATTTAGAGTCATATTAACTAATCGTATCAGGTTCTCTGATATATCTAGTGATATTATTGCTTCGTATAATATGTTTCATGAGATGAAGTCATAGGCCTGTTTCTACATATTCTACCATTTCTACATACTAACTCATTAATCTAAACTGTTTTTTAATTTCGCCAAAAGAAATAAATATAGCGTCTTCAAAAAAAGTTTAAACCAAAGATTTATTTGTATAAAAAGTAGTTCGTTACTGCTTATATACATGTTACAAAAGCAAAGAGGAATTTCTGTTTGTTTAATTTTTGAAAAGTAATGTTAATATAAAATTATAGTATTATTTCAAAAAGAAAATGTCAAATTTAATTAAAAACCTTTTATTTTATAGGTAAGAAATTTAATAAACCATATCCCTATTATCTACTTTATCACAATCAATCGCAATAAATTCATACTGACCTGTATCAGTCGTTTGAAAGGTGAAAGCCTCAGAAATGGGACTCCAACCAAATTTGTTTCTGGCCTGAACTTTGGCTTCGTAATTTTGGCCGGATTCTAATCCCCGAATTACGTAGCTCATAGATTGAACTCCTGGAGATTGAGTAGGAGCAGCGGGTAAAATTACATCCCTCCAATCTGTTCGCCTGTCTATGAATTGTCGTCCGTAACCGTATCCTACACTGTAACCTACCGCTGCATAAGTTTTATTTTCCTAAAATAAATAAAAAATACAGTGCCGTCAAATTTTAGACTAAAGATAATCATCAGCAAAATTTTAGTTAAAAAAAATGTGATAATAATTCTTAATTATAACCTTTTTGTTAACCAGTTTTTCTTATTTACATATTGGAGAACCCCATAAAACTTAGGTAGTAAACATAAAGAAAAGTCAGGGCACAATCCTTTGCCCGGACTTTTTTTGTTTACGTTGAGATTGCCATGATTTGAGACATATACGTTGACCTGAAAATTCTTTTTCTGATATTTTAGATTTTATCAAAGATCGCTTTTGGATTCAACCACAATTTTGCATATAAGTCTTTTGGTTAATGTTAGGGGTCCCAATTGGTAAGATTTTTCAAAACATAATTTTAAAAATAAAACCACCAAATCTTGTTTTGTTACTTAAAAAATAAAAAAACTATTTTTTTTCATAAATCAATATTATGTTCATCAAATGTATACAGACATATTAGATATATATGTATACATTTTAAAGGATTATAAAGACATCAAAATAGTAGTGCCACTATGTTATAAAACAATCTAAAATGTAAAAATAAAAATTACAATTATTTTAACGTGTAGGTTAAATTACTAATGAACGTTAAAATACCATTTAAGAGTGTTGGGAAAATATTTGGTATAAACGTACTTAATGGATATAGACCAGAGAATTAAGCATTTTCTCGTGAAATCTGTATACTGTTTAATCTGGCTGTAGAAAAAGTAATAAGTATGTCACAAATCAAAACCATTAGTTGGAAACTGCTGTTGATCAAGCAGTTTGTTACTTTGCGGCGAGTATTTTGGTCTCCGGCATGACTTCGTCTATGCCTTGTGCCTGTCATATCTTCATCCAGCCAATAGCTTCGCCGAGTCCAACTTAGTAAGAGGTTCCGCCTCTACAAAATGAATAACCCTTTGGGAACGGAAAACTTGGGATATCAATCTTAAGAGATGTTTAAATGAGGAGGTTTTTACTGGTGAAACTAACGGCTTAAATATCTAAGGATAAGAGTAAGAAGGAAGTATATGAGGTTAAGAAGAGTGCAAGCAGGAGATTTGCAAGAAAAAAATGAATGAAATAAAGCAAATGCAGAATGAATACAGAAATGAGATAAGAAGATCTAAGAGATAAATGTGGAGTAACCTTCTTCAGGATCTAACAAGGGATATCTGGGGGCAGGGCTTCAATTCGATTCAATTTCGATTATCTGTATCGAATTTAAAAAAAAAATACATCCTACCACCCGCCTAAGAAAGCGAAACTTAGTTATACGGAAACTCTTTTCTCAGGTGGACAAAAGGCGCCGAAGGGTTACTGTTTTGTGAGACGGAACCTCTTACTGAGTTGGACTGGACGAAGCTATTGGACGGATGAAGATACAAAAGGCACATTGCACGGACGAAGTTATGCGGGGACAATAGGACTAGCCGCAAAGTAACAAACTGTTTGAACAACAGCAGTTTCCAAGACAGCAAGGTTGTCCTTATCCGGAAAGGCAGAGGTAAAGAGAAAGAGGTGCGCTTTCGGCAATTTGCCTTTTCAGTTTAGTAGCTAAATTGTACGAGCAGCTTCTGAAAGGGCGCTTGAGCGAGAGCTGGAAGTAAAGCATGCGCTTAGCGACCGCTAATATGATCCGTGGCCGTCTATAAATGCTAACCTCTTTCGTCACGCAGGATAAAAGACATGGATGGTTCTAATCTTTCTTGATGTCAAAAATGCATTAAACACGGCATCTTGGGAAAAACAATGTCCAGGCTCCATGAGTTGGCATTAGTGAGTACCTAGTCAACATAATTGACAGATACTTTACTGACAGGTACATAAGAGAAAAAGATACCGATATCAGTTTGTCGCAGAGTGTTTCGCAGGTTGCAGTACTAGGTCAAACCCTGTGGAATGTACTGTTAAGGGGTGTTAAGGCTACATATGCCAAGACGATGCACTCTTGTAGCTTATGCCGATTATCTCGCACTGATTGAGAAGGCGAGCCAGAAAACGGACATGGCTAATATGGCTAATTCAGTCCTGTATTAGCAGGTGGATCAAAGCGAACGATCTACAGCTAGCATCTTAGAAAACTGAGGTGACAGTTCTCAAAAGGAGCCGGGACAAATCCTCTCGTCGCTTTATAGTGGAAAGTGTGGAGGTTACATTACGTTAAATTGAATAATTATTTCGGAGTTTGGTTATCAGGACTGAAGTTCGGAGTACACATTCAAAAGATGGTCATGAATAAGACCGAAATCTGGAGCCGTTAATAGGTTTAATGCCAAACATTGGAGACCCAAGTAGCACCATAAGAAACATGCTAAATTAAGTTTTCTAGCCAGTGATAACCTATGCCGTCCCCGTGAGGTGTAGCGCACTGAATACTGCAAAATACGCCAAGCTGATACAGACTTCGCAAAAGCGAATGAATCTCAGGGTATTTAGCGTATACAAAACGGTTTCAAATTAGGCACTGTATGTCATTGGGGCGATCATAGCGATCGTTTTGTGGTGCAAAGAGCGAGCGAGAGTGTATGCGGGAGGATCGATGAGAACTCTAAAAAAGATTTCCCGTGGCCTGCCATCATTAAATGGATACCTTCCTAGGCACTTACTAAAATCTGGCAATACGGTAATTAAAAAAAATACGGGTTTGACTCTTATATTAGGATTGGGCGGATTAATCTTTTAAAGTTTTTTATTTTTGTATATCTCGATATAATTAAGCATCTAAGGAGAAGACTGGGCCCAAAATAGGATCTGTTGTCTGTAAAAATACTGCGGTTTATCTCTGTAGGAGTATTATTATTAGTGTTAAGTAGCTCTCCCAAGTATACAAATTCGTTGACTGCTTCAATAGCGTTGTTTTCCATATCAAGTGGTCGTAGAATTTGTAGTTGCGATTTTATTTTTATGCTTAGTTTTGTTGACATTTATTATTTACCATATTTTGGACTAAGCAAGCAGCTAAAAAACACAAATTTAAGCCAGAAAACCAAACTAATAATATATCGAACACTCATTCTACCAGTGCTGACATATGGGTCAGAAACATGGACCATCTCCAAAACAGACGCAAATCTTCTGCTCGTCTTCGAAAGGAAGATACTAAGAAGAATAATGGGCGCATTCTGTGAGAATGGTATTTGGAGAAGGCCATATAATTTCGAATTGTACGAGAAGTATAAAAAAATAGTAAGTGGTAGAGATGTAATATCCTTCATAAAAATAGGTAGGCTTAGATGGGCTGGACATGTGTCAAGAGCAAATGAAAATTACCCACCCAGACGAACTCTATTATCGGTCCCAGTGGGAAATAGGAGTAGAGGCAGACCACGACTGAGATGGAGGGACGGTGTGTACGAGGACGTAAGGAAAATCGGCGCGGCAAATTGGCAACGGCTGGCGATGAACAGAAACGACTGGCGAAATAGACTGGGAAGGTCAAGACTCAACTAGAGCTGTAGCACCACTGATGATGATGATATATTTTTGTAGCTGATTCTTTAATGCTACATAGGCCTCTCTTACAGCTTTTTCCGTTTTCCCAACAATATTGATATTATCAGCATACACAAGGATGTGCACTGATTTATTACATATTAAACTAATGGTTGTGATTTGTGCCATACGTATTATTTTTTTCAGAGCCAGATTAAACAGTAGACAGGAGACAGTATCTCCCTGGCACAGTTCGTTATTTGTTCACACACTTTCCCCTGAATTCGTACTTTACATTCAACTTTTTCAAGAGTTAGTTTTGTTAAATTTACCAACTGATTTATTATTCCTATCTCTTTTATAGCTTTAAACATTTTCCTTCTATTCACAGAGTCGTAGACTGCTTTATAGTCTATAAATACAAGATGAGTATCTACGACATCTTTCAGTGTTTTTTCTAAATTTTGTCCGAGGATTGGAATCTGATCAATTGTCGATTTACCACCTCTAAAATCAGCCTGCTATTTTCCTACTATCCGTTATGCATATGGTGCCATACGGTAACAAAGAACTGTGGAAAATATTTTATACGCTGCATTTATAAGTGTAATTCCACTGTGGTTAGATCATTCACAGATATCTCATTTTTTGTATTTGGCGCAAAGTATTCCAATATTCCATTCATTGGAGAGTAATTTTTGTGTCCATATTTCTGTTATAAGCTGCTGTAATGCTATTATGGTAACGTGGTTACCTTCTTTATATATTTCAGCTAAAAGATTATCTATTCCGATTGATTTTTTTCTGACTATTTTTTTAACTGAACTGACTTGTGGTGGCCTTGTTTTTTTGTTGATGTTAATTTTCTTATGGAATGCTCTGAATTCTTTTTGTCTGTTGATGTTTTTCATATATTTAAGTTTCTTATTTAAGTCGTTTTATTTTTTCTTTTGTGTATCTTTTTTTCTTCTCTTCTCTGCCTGGTAATTCTCTACAGTAGTTCGTCGGGTAAGAATCTTTATTAGACTTAATTTTTTCTTTTGTTCATTCTTGCATTCATCGTCAAATCAATGATTTTTCCGGGCACAAGTTTCTACCTGTCCTTTAATTTATTTATATTTGACAAGGTGATTGAGACATTGTGGCGAATACAAAAAGACTAAAAAATAAAAATCAAATCACTTTTGCGGGTATTGTTCAACATCGGAATCAAAAAGGATAGTCATACGATGTTTGGAGTCGTGAAATCAAGAAACAGGAATATTTTTTTAACAAGCATAGTTTAGTTACAAGCGTTTTCTGTTTCTATCCATGATTTCCACCAAGATATTGGTAGGAATTCTTCTTCTTCTTTTTATATAGACATGACTATGTCTGTTTTTCAATGTGCCTCCAGTAAGTTGTCCTTCCATAATTTTCGTTTTCTTCTTACTTATCATCTTCCTATTTGGGAACCGTCTCTTGCCGTCTTTACTACTGTGTTGTCTTTCAATCATATTTGTCTTACCATTAGGTATCAGGTCTTGTTTTTGCCGCGTATGTCATTATTGGTT